TTTAAACAAAATGAAACAATTGAAAACATGCAAACAAAATTTAAATGCATTATAACAAGGTTCTGATAACTAGATACAACTTTAGTTTATTTGATAATAACCAACCACATTATATGCTGTTTTAAAGGAAGCAAAAAGGTTACTAGCAAACTTTTCTATAAAAAAAATATAAATTTACTTAGAGTAAACAGTTCTTTTGGTATTAGTGAAGTCAAGTTTCTAACAAATGCATATTTTTTGAAAGTTGATAGCAAAAATTTTGTTTAAAATTATTACAAAAAGCCAAACAATGTTAAATTTTTATTTTACTCCATTGAGTGACTATGTTGTTTACATTTCTATAAAATGCTCATTTAAATTTTACCAATGCTTTTATACATTTATTAACCCTTTGTGACTGAAGTCAAAAGGATTTATCTTTTTTAAAATATGTACAATTTGAAAACTTAAGAGAACAAACTGTAACTTGTTATATCTTTTTCTAAGTATGTTTAAATTATGTATTGAATTGGTTTGTATACAAAGATTTATTGCAACAAAATTTATATATTTTTCCATATGCCAGTTTAATATACATATTTAAAGTACCATAAATATTTAAAAAATGTTTATGAAAAATTTTTCTTTAGCAAACAATTTTAGAAATAAATTTAAAAAATGAAAATACATTTTAAAAATCATACAACAGGTTGATGTAAACATTTTACTTGATTTTGGTGAAAATCATGGCTGACTATACATGTTCTTCTATACTCTCCACCACTCATCACCTTTAAGCTATGACTTGTTATGCTCCATGTTACTCCTTATTTGATCAATAGTTCCAATAAGTTTAAGATAATGAGGAAAAAAAATTAAATTATTCTTTAATGACGAAATATACAATTTAGCTGGATCACAGAAAATTAGGGAAATACTTTGATAACTGAATTATGATGCTATGAATTCTTATGTAAATGAGAATTTTCCAGAAAATACTGGAAAATTTTGTATCAACTCCAAATATATCATGTTTTATTGTAAAATCAGTTATGATATGTTGGCATCTTTAAATAACATGTACCTGAAAGGGATTGTAAAATTATGCAGCTGAAAGGTAGCATTGAGAATGTTTTAGTTAAAATGACAATTTCAAAATAAAAATATATAGAAACATTCAGTAAGCAAACATTGAATCATTTTACAAAATTTAAGAGAAAAACATTTCATTTTAAGACAAAGCTATTTAACAAGAAAAAGCAATGACAAATTTCATCAGATGAGGCAAATGCAAGATGCACTTTGTTTAGAATTAAACTTTTAGCATTTCAATGAATTTTACAAACCTGATTTAGCAAGAAATACAAATAAACAAATGCCAGTATAAAAATACAAGTTTATTTGCAAGTAACTGTGACTTTCACACATGATAGTATATTAAGCCTATGATAAGTGTACATAGTTTATATGACAATTAAAATTTTATACATGTACCAATTATGCCATATTTCCCACCAGATAATATCCACCTATAATTTGGCAATGAGCATTTAGGATAAAGAAACTAAAATCTATAGTTCCATAGCTGTTCTCTCAATGGCGTTTTGGTCCAAGAGTTTAGGCTATTGGATAGTCTCTTGTTGAACTATTTAAGCAAAACATACAACTGACCTTATAAATATTGTTATACCTGTACTTTTTGCTAACCTACTTTGACTAGATTTCTTGGCATTTTTAAGTTATTCCACAAAATAGACATGAATCTTACTCATAGAATCTCAATGACCTGAATATTTTTATTCTTACTTCAATATGCATTTTTTTATGTGATTAGAAAGTTAGTGATGCTACTGAGACTACTAAATGCTTTTGTGTATTGATAGTATCCTCCAAAAGTGATGACAATAACATCCAACAATAAAATAACTTTCACTGAATTGCAGTATATTCTGCTTACTTTTTGGCATACAAATCAGTATAAATTTGATTCATTTTAAGTTAATTTATTTACAAAATGTGTCACAAAAACTTTTCCACTTTGTCATACATCTTTACCCCAAATTGTTCTTGATATATAAAAATTTATATATCATTATCCCAAAATGAAAATATGTAAAATTATCCCACATTTAAGATAAATAAATATTTTAATAATCACAATATCATTTCAATTTGTAATCATAAATAATTTATAATCTTATTTAATTTGGGGGTTAATTAGGGAAATGGAGTGTCAATTAAGTGTGTTTAGGTATTAGATTAGTACTGGTAACCTCTATCCTAAGGTATATCTAAACTAAACTATCTGGGTATAAGAAGCAGAACAATTTTTGGAGGATTTTAAAAGATTTTTGGAAAGTGCATCTTATATGGCGGGAAATACCATTCATAAATTACATATACATTAGTTTGCATTTCAGTAAGATTTGTGTGCATGTCAATATTAGTTTTTAAATGATTTAATTTTTTTTTTTTAAATTGAAAATTATTTTTAAATTTTCATGATTCTAAAGAATTAAAAACGTTTGGTAAAGTGTAGTTTATATACCTATTTTTTGTAAATAATTTTAAAATGAACATTTTAAAAATCTAATTTCTAGAATTCTTAACTCTGCATTTTTTAAAATAAAAGTTATAATTACAAAATTTAACTTTAAATAGAACATTTGATAACTACGACTTTGAATTGTGCATATTTTGCAAACTTAAGTGTTAGAAAACTGATTTTTAAGCATAGAGTTAAATGCTGAACTGACCTAAGTGATTAGTTAAAATGTAATAGATTTGAACTGAACTATCATTAGATGAATTAATGTTACATTAAAAATATTTTAGAAAAGATTCATATATTAGTTCATAATTTCATCTTAAGATGAATGTTTGATATTATTTGTCAATCAAAATAAACCTAGAAAACACTTTCTGCTCTTTAGATATTCACCTGAAAAAGTAAGTGAATATATATAAGCAGAATGTAACAAATAAACAACTGTGACACTTAAAATTAAAATATTTTATATTAAAAAAGTTAAATAGAAAATTTTCGAAGATCATTTGGGAACAGTGTAGGGTTTAGTTGATTTTACAAGATTGAATTTTCAAAATATTTATTATGCTTTGATACTGAAGTTTTCTTTGAGATAAATATGTGAATCATGGATTTTTATACAGCTCTTGATATTGGGACTGAAACACTGGGCTTTAGTTATTTGTCTGCTATTGTTCCAAAAATTCATATCAAGAACTGTTTAGAGAATGGAATAGAGTGGAGAGTGCAGTTTATTATTTTGTGTAAGTAACAATTTTTTTATTCATAGTTCTTTTTTCAAAAGAACAATTTATAAAGTTTTGCTGAAAGATTACAGCAGTTCTTTTTTTTTGATTATGAGTAATGACTGTCCACTGATCATAAACAGCCATTATGAAAGAAAAACTGATTTTCTTTTTATAAGAGAAAAGTAAAGATGAAGATTTTCCTTTCTGGAAAATATTAAAATGGTTGAATATAGAATATGAAGAAGAGTTTGATCAGAAGGAGCAAAGATTATGTGACTAAAGATATAAATGCTTTTAATCATACCAAGAATGAAGTGGATGAGGTAAAATTAATAAATAACAGAAGAGAAACCTTTAGAGAATCTTTCTTGATAATGGAGAGAAAATTGTTCTAAACATAAGTATTTACTTGACACCAAGTTCATACTATTTTTAAAGATAAACATAACACCAATCCTTTTGCATGAACTCAACATGCTTACCATAAAATTCACCTCAAAAAAAAAAAAAAAAAAAAAGTGTTGAGGACAGAGGCAAACAAGTTATCAGTGCGTTTACCTGGACATGCCTATAAAAAAATAGATAGATAAAAGACTTTGAAGCCACAGTTAGGTCATCTTCCAGAAGAAGTTGAATTTTTGTATTCAAAACTTAACAAGAGCTGCCAATGGAATCTAGTGATGTAGGTGTGTGTGTGTGTGTGTGTGTGTGTGTGTGTGTGTGTGTGTGAGAATAAACTAACAACAAGAGCAGGTATAAAGCTGCAGAGCATTTGTAGTTGGCTTCCCCATGCACAATCACTCAGATCAATGGAGGCAAGTGCAAGTGATACACTTGGTCCATGATTAACTTATACAACACATACAACCACAGAGACAACAAAAAGGCAGTGGCCAGAAAGCTTATGAACAGTGACAAATACTTAAAGAAAAGAGCTTACATGGCTAGGGATAGCTGCCTTTTAAGTCAGAAAAAACAAAACAAATTACATTGAAGTTACACTGAAGCAAATTGTTAAACCAAAAATATAACATTTTACTCAAATTCACTTTCAGTAGTTTATAATTTGTAGACATTACAAATGACATACATAAAGTTTTAGTCTATCTTGTATAAGCACATCTGTTATATGACATTAGAGGCAGCCTGAATAAAAAAGACAAATTTCAACATTATCAAGATTGAACAAGAGATAAATATAAGTTTTATATTATCACAAATATAAAGCACAAACAAAATATTGTTATACTTTCAATACAAAAAGGAAGAAGGAGGCTACATCTGAAAGAAACAATGACAATATATTAAGACAACATGAAGATTGAATTTAAATTCATTTTGAAGCATTAAGAATATTCAAATTTAGTTTTCTTAAAGACTTAAGAAAAAACAATAGAGTGAAAATCCTTAAAAACTAATGAAGCTATAGCAAAAACAACGTTAATAATATAGTTTTTAAACCATTTGACTATTTAACATTAGCTCAAAGCTGATATGTATGATAATCATATTTGAAATAGTTTTGTGTTATGAAAATGTAGTTATTGAAATATATGCAACTAAAATGGAATATTCATTTGTAAAATGATTTTTATAGTTGATTGAAGGTACACTGAACATGTTTTGAAGATGATATACAAGCATTATTTCAATTTAGATCAAACATTTATATTCAGAAACTCAACACTTGGAAAGTGAAAAAATTTGTCCTGTAGTTTAAAGCAACTAAAAGACGTGGGACTTACATATTTGCAAGCAGTGATGCTGTATGCATGTCCACAAATGAGACCATTGGGTAATTTTGCTTCAAGTTCATTTGGATCAGCCTAAAAAAAAAAAAAAAAAAAAAAAAAAAAAAAAGAATCTTAATTCAAAGAAAAATTTCAGACATCTGAATAATGTATGCCTGCACATATATATATATATGTATGTATGTTTTTTATTAACTGAAGAAATCATTAGGAAACGGATTCCTTTTTATGTCTGGATGCCTGTGAAATAAAGCGTCTTTTTGATATGAAGGTAAATGTGGCATGTGTAACCACTGGCAATTGATCTGGTTAGAAATTCCTGGTAAATTGTAGAGCCATTAAAGGTATCATGAGAAAATATGATTAATAAATCAAGTGGAAAGGGGAGAGAAGAAAAAGAAAAAGAAATAGTGAAATTGAGATTTATAGCAGTCGAATTAAAGGTTTAAATTTGCCAAGATGACACTGGCTTCTGAATTATACATTGATATCAAAATCAGAATGGTATGTTATTTTATGAACATAATAAAATGAAAAACTGGGAGAGAAGAAAAAGAAAATCTAAGCTATAGATGATGTGAAAATCTAAAAAATAAAAATGAGAAGTGGAATCTATATCCGATCTAAAACTTAATAGCATTAACATCTTAAAGGTGAAAGTAAAAGACAGTTTTTAAGAGATGATAAACAACCATGATATTTGTTTTATCCAATACTACCAAATTTCAATTGGTCATCAGGTTAGTGGTATCTTGAGAGCCAGTTTGTTCTAATATAAAACAACAAACACAGAACTGGTATTCACAATAAATTCTTTAAAACATGACATGTCAAAATAAGTTTAATTGTCAACATCTACATGGATCTGAACATTAAATATTTTATGATTTCTCTGATTAAAACTTATTACAAAACATAAGGTTAGTCATAATTTATAATCTTAATCAGTATAGAGAATATTTCTGAAACTTAAATGGAGAAAAAACAGCTAAATAAATAAAAAAGTTTTACAATGTAATTAATCCATTAGCAAATCATAATGTCTCTTCATCTTTAATAACTTTGAGAAAAATTGTTTCCTTTTTATGTTCTTCCTTACCTGATACTTTTATTTAAACTTTCAATTATGTTTCTTAAGATATTGAGTACACTATATACAGGTAGATATAGAAATGGACAAATATCTTCTTACTTCAATACTGATCATATTCACAATAAGTAGAAAAAGCAAAATTCAAATTTCCAAAAGTAAACTTACATCAAGTGAACAACCCATAAGTGATGATCTCTGGAAGGCTTTTAGCATGATGTTGAAAAGCTTTTCTGGAGGACTAGTGAGGTCAATGGATTCAGTAACGCCACCTGTAAAATCTTCCATTGCCTCTGAGCTGCTACCACCTTTCAGGGACTCATAAGAGCCACAGAGCCTTGGAGGGGAAAAAAAATAAAAACATTTTCACCTATTAAAAAATGTACATTACACATATCCATAGGTATGAACAAACCTAGTAAAAATTAATATTCTTGGTAAGAAGAAAAAAATTTGATTTCAATGCATTAAGTAAATTATTAAAAATGACTGTCATTGAAATTGAAAGTGAGAAAGAAAATGTACTCGCAGATCAGAGACAGTTCTAATCATTGTTGCGAAAAGTTTTTCTATTTAGTAGAAAAATTCTGACTTCAGCTCAGGAAAAGCACCCTTCCACCTACTGACCCAGAATTACACATGTCTCTCATATTGAGATAGATATAAGATAGTAGTTTAAAAAAATTAATTTGTCATTTTTAAATGTGGCAATATAGGACCAAGAAACTAACTTGCCAGTGACTAAAAGGCCATGATGTCTTGCCTGCTCAGTTGGAGTTGCCATTTACAATTTAAAGTGCATGCATAGGTCTAGCTCTTTAAAAAACTATTGCTAATTTTTCATGCATGATCTAAAATGTAAGCTACACAGAACTACAGGAGTTTGACTTGTTCAGGCCTGGGATCACTGCAACTATCTACTACTTGCTATTTCAGCAGATTGAATTTCCATTTTGTCAGGGACAAAATATTTCATTAGCGAATAATTCCAGAGTTTGGTGGTACAGCTACAGAAAAACCAGTTATACATTGGATTTCATGGGTCAAGATGATAATGTAACCTTTGCAAGTGAACAGACACTGAGCTAATACTGCTGTTGTGCTTGTGAGATAGTGCACTCATCGTATACCAGCAAATTTGAATACAACTAATTTGTAGCATGATAACTTCACCTGGAAGGGATGGTGAATGAGTATCTAGCAGATTTGCAATGACTTGATCTGCTTGCTGGAGATCAGTGGATGGCCTGTGCATCCATGTTGGGACTGTCACAGCATGTCAGGCAGTTTACTAGGCATCATCAAGAATGAATGCCATGACATTGGAACAACTAGTAATCCAGGTACGGGTCATTATGACCTAGTAACCTAAAGATATTGCTGTTACTACCCAGTAAACCATATGATAGTGTGAGATGGTCTGCTATAGATGTAGGGATGTTCTGAAGAAACTATTGACTGACTGCACCAGTTGCACTCAAAGGATGCAATGTTTCTGATCTAATAAGGCAGGACAGGTTGCCTTAGAAGTAGTCAGCATCAACTTGGTCCCCAAATAAATAAAGAATGAGACCCTGCCAACAACTGACTCCTTTTGCACATATCATTGACTTAAGAACAGCTTAACTAGCAAAGCAAAAGTGTGACCAAGGCAGTAGGAGAAATATTGATGAAGAGACTTCAAACATTCTTGCAGCTAATTGAAGAATATTAGTTTGATGTGGACATCAGTTGGGAAAGGGTATTACCACTACAGCGTTGGACACTTAACACTCATTGGTTGTGGACCCTCCTAATTCATGATATGGTGGCCCATTTTATAGCAGTGTGATACATCACTTGGAAGCTGTTTTTTGTGAGTGGGGTCTGCCAAATGAAATTTTAACAGACAACAATGCTGCCTTCACTTGTGGAAGCTTCAGATACTTCCTGATAGCTTGGGGTGTGTGGCTGTGGCTCTGGTGTGTCTATGCCCCAGCCAGAAATGGAATTATATAGAGATGCTACAGGACTATAAAGACCATTGTGTTCAGGAAGGAGTGCACTATACAGGAAGCAGTGTGCTGGCACAATGTGACATTCAAGGATGAGGGTTTCTTCCTCAGCCCCAGCAGATATGCAAATACCATGTCAGAATTGGGGTGATTGATGCTGTTCTCTCTTTTCCCAAGCCGCAGGATGAATTAGGGACTTATAAAGGTGGGGGATCCTGTCTTGGTCAAGATTCCAAATGCTAGATGCACTACAAGATTGAAAGTGGGCTGTGTGGCTGGAGTCAGTGGAAGTTGGAGTTCCACATCACATAAAAGATGTGCGTCCCTTACCAGAGTCATACTCATCAGGAAATGAGAGCAGCTTTGAGGAAAGTGCAAGGCTGATCCAGGTAGGAACAACTTCGCCAGAATCTGAAGAAGATTCATCTGCCAACAAATCACTTGTAGATAAACCAGCTTTACCAAGGAGTCTCCCAGTCACCAGCTGTCAGAGGAGCTGATATGAGAGCACCTCACAAATGCCTAGATGACTAAGCCAGAGCTGTCCCCTAAGGAGTATGTGTTAGAAATGACCTGTGCCTGGCTGTACTATTTGTGATCATGAGATATGGGGTGGGGGGGTGTAGTGAAATAGGACCAAGAAACTAACTTGTCCATGTAGAAAAATATACAAATAATTTCACATCTCAATAAAATCAATGTTAAAATTATTTGTAATCAATTTTATAGGAACCTCAATAAGCAATACTCATTAGCATATAGGTATAGATAAGCATGAAAAAGCATATTGACATAAAGATATTTTGTTTAGCTGAAAAAGACAAGTTTGCTTTAAACAATAACTTGCCTATTACAATAAAAAAAAAAAAAAAAATACATTTTTTCCCCATTAAATACAGACTTGGTAAATGAACAGAATTTATGTTCATTTACTATCACAACTTTGAAATTAATACAAAATTATACATAACTATGAATATATATCAAATATAAACAGTGATTTATTTTCATCACATTTTTGAAAATGATTCTACTTTTCACCATGAAAGGTATTTTGTAAGAAATGTTAGGAAAATTTGTACCCTGGGTGGATTAATTCTTTTCTATAGCTGACCAAATATTGATAATGTTCTATAAAAGAAATTTCTACTTACTTGGCATAAGCCTTTTCAAGTAGTGCACTCCAGAACTCATTTTTTTCTGTTGAATGCATGTAAATCAACTGATCATAATAGGTAGGAATTCTGTCATCTACAACCACCTCGATCCACTCGCCTTGGTGCCAAAAACGAAATCGGAAACATCCTGTGTAGCTTTCCTCAAAGTTTTGGTCCTGAGGAACAACTCTAAACAGAAGCTTCTGATCAATGGTCAGGGATGCAACAGCTGCTAGAAGCCAACAATCACCTGGAAAGGCAAAAAGACAATAAATGGGAAATCATTTCTTAGATAGAAGAAATATCCATGTAAAAGAACTAAGACTATATTAAATGCCAGATTAGAATTGGCTTCAACACAAGAAAACTTCAGTATTTGTTGATAAGGGTCAGTCTAAGCACTGAAAAGTTTATACAACAAATGAAATTCTTAGTGCTCAGGGATTTCCTCTTATGATTTTATCTAAAAGGGAAAGATGACCACATTTTCTGATATTTACACTAATATAAATAATACTTTGTATATGTTAAATCTATAAAAATAATTCTATACAAAAAAAAAAAGAAAGAAAAAAAAGACAAACAAAACAAGAAAAAAGAAAAAGCTGCACTTTCTTGTATAACTGATTGGTTAGAGTATTTTTTTTAAAAATCATTTCACTTCAAGCAAGGTGATAATGCCACTAAAATGCAATGGGTTACTGAAAGTGAAAGAAAATAAGATGTTACTAAGGGAAAAAACCTTAAAAGAACAAGATTCAGGAGAACAGAAGATGGTGATTGTTGTTGCATTTAAAGTTTTGAAGATTGTAGATGGCAGGGAAGCAAGAAACCAGAAGCAAGTTCCACAGGTGAGAAGTGCAAGAAAAGAAATTATTAGAATAGAACTTACAGTTACATCTGGATATTTTAATTATAAAATGAAGAGACCTAGTTGCCAATCTTAGAATACATTTAAATTCATGTGCTCACGGTATCAAAGAGGAGAGCTCCTTAGAATAATTGCCATGAAAAGATTTATAGAAAAGACAGAGGGAATTTACTCCATGGCAGAGGAAAAATGGCTGAAATTGAGATGCTAGGTCAGGACTGATAACATTACAGATCCTTCTTTGGATTTTGTCAAGAATTTCAAGATATAGGTCAATGAATGGAGGTAGCCTGTTTTACTTTATCGAGCATATAAAAGAAGAAAACTTTTCTTTATAAGTCAAGTTTTCAGCAACTCCCTTGGGTTAGAGTCATTGCTGAAACAGGGCTTCTGGATATTGTGAAGAGAATTCATTCTGAATTGTAGGATTCTAATTTTGGATTTATCCATAATAAAAATGTTTATATACACTAAATAAGAAAAAAAAATTATAAAATTACAAACCTTTATGAAAGCCAAAATGAGTCATGCCATTCATCTAACCTTAATGTTCAAAAGAGCCTCTACTATGAAATTATCTATCAGTATATGTAGCAAAACATCAAATACCTTTACAGAAATTGATATATGGAGTGTTTGCTAACATCCCAATTCATGCAAGTAGTACTTTCATTAGACACTAATCAGCTCAGTAAATTTAGACAAATTTAGTCGTGAGCATTTATCAACATGGCCAATACCTGTAGATATTGATAGTATTTCAAACAGTAAAATCCATATCTCCTTTAAACCATCTATTAGTTAAATAGCAAAGCAGATCAAGTTCTCTAGTATTGGTTGACAATTAGTTTAGGAGGAGGAACACAGCTCTAAATACAAAAACTGTCAAACAGTTATGGCAATGCACACTTTACAGATAGTAAAGACAAAGGAAGTTGTAGAGAGCCATGATTTCCTGCAGGCTATATAAAAAGTTCTAAAATCAAGATGGAAATAGATCATATATATATATATATATATATATATATATATATATCATTAGTACACAGTAGATTGTGTGTTTGAAAACTTTGCATTTGGTTAATTCAGAGATTTTTTTTAATATGGTAATCTTAACCTAATCTAGCACATGGCTACATAAGTAAAATCTGAATTTATTACCAGAAATTTGTGAATTATTTCAAAAATCCTTAAAAGGGTTGTAAGAAATGAAATGTTGGCACCAGCAAGAGTTAAACAATAAACTTAGTCGAGTTATTACAAGAGTTTAACTTTTCTAACATTTACAGTTCAACTCTTATGAAAGTATAATCCAGTCATTTCCAGAATCATAACTTGTAAAATTTAAGCTGATGTAGAATCAGTTCTCATATCATTGGCAAGAAGTATGAAAATGATATGCATTTTCAAATTGTAGATGTTATAAAAAGAAAAAAAACCTGATTTACAAAGAAAACATTTGCAACTAATGTGACTAATCAAATTACCATTAGGCTAACATAGTTGCCTAATTAAATAAGCATGCAGAAGGCACTAGTAATCTCTTAATTGCACACTTGTATCATGAACTGTGTATCAACTATATACTTATTTTCTATTGCTTGGCTATTTTGTCAACTGTCTGTTGAATGCATTATTTTTTTTGCTTCTCATGAGTTGATAACAGTTCAACACATTCTCAACAGTTTCATGATTTGTTTTGATAGTACCAATCATAGAATGCAAAGATATTACTGAGAATTTGGCACTGGATAGGTAGATTGTTGACAAAAGGGAAAGAAATAAATTTATAAAACTGAACACTTACCCAATTCACCTTGTTTCACATCAAATCGAGAGGCACCTTCAATAAGGAATTTGGGATCATCACAAATCTCCTGCAATAAAGAAAATAAGCTTTTAAAAATGTTATTAGCAATAAAGTTATATTCTAGTCATTATAGTCTTCTACGCCTTTTATCATATATGAGAGGGTGCTTAAAATTTCTAAAAATCAATCCTATTTTAGAAAAGTCATACATCACCAAACAAAGCAGTTGTAATATAGCAGTGATTAATGTAAAGCTTTCACATAATTGTTAGTGAATTTGATCTAAACTTGTGTCAATTTGTTTACTTCAAGGTCATTTCAAATTAAGTCACTGAATAGCCTCATGCTTACCATGAAAATCTGCCCACTGTTTGCATTTTATGAAAGAGATTGGAAACCTGAAAATGTCAGGTTCATTGCTTCAGGGGTTCAAAAATTACAGTCCCTTGAAAATCTTTTGTAACAGCTGGAAGCATCTTGGACACATGGCAGAAATTGAGACAAGAATCAATAGACAGCTATTTGATTATATTTCAATTAATCTGAAAATGCAAAAACATTCACTTTGTAAACAGTTCTAATTTTCGTAATAGACCACAAATGGGTGGAGAGTGGCTTAATTTTTTGCTAGTAACATTGCTTGTACTCAATTGTATCATCTGTGCTAATATCACTCATTTTGTGACTTACTGCTTTAAGGTATTTGATATTATAGATTATGTAAACTGCATTTAACTTTGATTGTCATTAAAGTTTTCACTGTCTGATAATTTGGAAGAGGTTCAAATTTTGCTTGAATATTTTGCTACATGGAACTTACAAAATGGCACAGATCAATTCATGGTTAATTATCAAATTAGTGATAATCATATCACAGATTGAAAATATTTGTAAATTTATAATATTCTGCAACATGACAATCAACATTTCTAAAAAATAAAGACTCCAAATAAATTGTGGTCTTTGTTGACAGGAATACACTGCTTAGAGGAAAGGATGAAAATTTTGCTTTCCCCTGAATAAAATAGATGCCCGAAATGCTAAAATTACCAGTGATAAACTGTAGGGATACCAAATTTCACCTTGATTATACATTTTTCAGACTGAAGTTATATGATTTCAAAATTAACAAAATTGTTATACTCAGAATACTTACCTTTCAGAATTGGTTCCTGTCTTTCAAAAGACAAACACTATCTGCCAAAATGCCAACTATGCTATTTTAGGGGGAGGGTTGTCAAAACATTTCTCATATTGATTTTTTGCAATGCAGTGCCCCCACACCTCTTTTTGCTCACATGCTTTATTGAGATTCTTTAATTCATATTTTTTTATGCATTTTCTGCAAGAGAAAAACTGTATATATTTGTCAGAGATCATTGGCAGTTATTGTAAGTCTAATTGCAAATTAATATTTGGCTCCTTTTTGAAACAAATAATTCCTTATCTGTTGAGAATTGAATAAAATAGATGTCAAAAGTACTTGATTTATGTGGAAAACTGTAAAGGTACCAAATTTCGCCTTGCTTGCATTCCTATAACTGCAGTTACGATGCACAAAAATTGGCACCTGTATTCCAATTTTCAATGAGTTGGAACTTCAAAACCACTGAAGATGAAATTTTCAGGTTTGCTTTCATGAAATGGAAACAATGCGAAAATTTTCACAGAATTCTGACAGGGTACCTATGGGAAGTTCTGATATTCTTTGTGATTTCATGTGGAATAACCCTTCAATAAATTATATATCTCAACCTGGAGCACTCCCATGATTTTTCTGAAAATGTCTACTAGTAGAAAAAAAAAAAAAAAATATATAAATATATATATATATATATATATATATATACACACACTCTTAAGGTGTGCTATATTTATGGGATAAAGTGCTCAATATCAGAGATAGAGCGTGTGTAAATATAAAAGTGAACATTGAAGTCAACACTTAGAGGTGGCCAAAATAGACTACCTACAATGCATCACTGACCCGTATATATAAATAGCCGAGAAAAAAACAACACTTGTGGCCTGACAATTGCGTCTAGCATGAAACAACCTCTCACTTCTAAGTGTTGACTTCAATATTCACTTTATATATATATATATATATATATATATATATATATATATATATATATATATATATAATCTCACACGCACACACTTCTGTTGTACTGATACTAGTCATGGTTAAAAGAGATTTCTATGCAGGCCTGACAAGCATATAAACCTATTTTGCTTATATTTATTAAACGGATTCATCAAAGAACTTAACACATAATTCTATAATCTGAGAAACATTTTGAATGTGTAAATTATTAATGAATTAGTGATTTAGATTTATACTGAACTTTTACATATTTAAAATGATTGGTTCTTCAGATGATAGACAAATGAGGCAATAAGCTTGTAATTTATTTTCTTTAAATACACTAAAGAGAAAGCTAACATCCCTAACATACAGTCAGATATCTTTTGTTTATTTTTTTATCTCATAAATCAGCATTTCTGGCTACCTGAATTCACTATAAAAAGTAAGCAAATTGACAGTGACTCTAGCTAATATCCCTTAAAATAAAAGCTGAAATGCTATGGAATATCAATCAATATAGATACAATAGTAAATGCTGGAGAATTTTCTCAGAAAGAAGACTAAAGGCAACAGAAATGTAACTCTACTGAAAGATGTTGAGAATATCATAGATGGAACATTGTTAATGAAAAAGTTTTAATGAAAATAGACAAAAATAGGATACTTGTACTTACAATCAGAAAGAAAATCTTTAAATTTCTGACACATCATGAGGAAAGAATACTTTGTAAATTTGGTTCTCAAGAGTAGAGTTTTAGAAGAGTTTACAGGTGAAAAATTCAGCTTTATCAGTGGAAGATTTTAACACCTTAAATTATATAATAATAAACTCTTACAGAACCACCAGTAATCACAAGAACCAAAGTTGTTTGATTTGATACAGGGTTTCATTCTCTCAACAAACAGAGATTTAGTTCCTTTGAGAACATGTTTACATTTATTATGTGCAGCCACAGATAGGTGTCTATTATGATGGGAACTGTCACACTATAACTGGAAATAGTGGTTCCAGTGGAACATGCTGGTGTGAACCATGGAGAAAATTTAGGTTTCACTTGGTACTTCTGAGAAGGAATGAAAGCATTTATACCGGTTTTGACCCAAGAAGATAACTCTGTGATTCATTTCTCAATATGGATGTCAAAAATTGAAATTCAAGGGGCATCTTGAAGAAAGTCACTGAATGAATCCCAATCAGGCATGCTGATAACAGATAAAGGGACACCTACCCATGCACAGCATGGAACAACAGATACCAGTCAGGATGCAGTAGTTAACTAACTGCCAACCTGATACCCTTGTACAAGGAAAAAAAAAATTAAAAGAGACAAGTTTACAACTTTTCTTGCTACATATACTTATTCTATTTTATATTTAATCAGTTATATTTACAAAAGAAACATGACAGAGTTAAAGTGTGAATTATCATCTAACATAAATAATACAGAGTAACTTTGATAAATGAGAAGTGATTATTATATATTTTTTAAATTGTTATTTTTAACAATGTTTTGTGATATATTCTTCCTCAAACGTATATTGCATTTGGTCTTAAGAATTTACTTAGTACTTTTCTTCTACTTTTTTACCAAATAGTATGAGCAATCAATTTTCTAAGTCAATTTTAATATTTCAAAACTACCAATTGAAAAAGAAAAAAAAATTAAATAATTCCTAATATATATATTGTTTTTTGATTTTTTTAATATTGTAGATTAATAGAAATTGCATATATATCAGGAAAAAAACAAAAAAAAACAAAACTACTGCAGAAATTTCTGTTATTTCATATTTGACTCATCAAACTGCAGTGAAAGAGTCCTGCTATCTGCATTTAATGAGTTTATGGTGATATCACATTCAGTCTCTACAAAAAAAAAAAAAAAAAAAATTTGGAAATACAAAAGCAAGAAAAAAATAGTACAGCTATCATGAGAACACAAACTGAATGACTTTTCTTCATCTGGGGCATTTAATTGAAATTTACACAAACAGCATGTTCCACCAAAGGGTCCAATTTTTCTATTTTCCCCACTGAAATTATATATGTATACTGATCAAATATGAAATGCTGTACAAAATAGTCTGAAAATTAAAATATATATATATATATATATATATATATATATATATATATATATATATATATATATATATATTTTATATTTTCAGACAAGTTTCAAAAGGAATTTTGAATTACTTCTGCTATTATTTCATTAACACAATTCTGATTATTATTAGTAGTATTCTGAGTAAATTGGAACACATCAGAAAATGAGATTATAGGCAGCTTTGCCAGCTAAACTGCTAAAAGTTGTAATTTTATATACAATATTTTATCACTAACACTTACCCTGCTTCCTGACCACTGACAATCCCTTATTGATTTTCAGTACACCACATACAATTTTTGAAACTTTTCAAATTTACATGAAAGCTGTTCCATACAAAAATATTGAAGTTGTTTTATGTTTTCTATTCTGTACATATGCTGCTGGGAAAACAGCTGTGCCATCAACAAAGCCTTTGATAAACACATTTTATAGAATTTTTCTTTGTTCTAAGCAACAAAATATACACAACTTAAAAACCAAGTCATGACTATTCTATAATATTGCAGTCAAATAGGCTTTATAGCTTGTATGAGCATTACTAAAATTTAAAAGGAATTTTTAGTACCAAACAAAAATTGAAGAAACATTTGTCACTAACTACATCTTCATCTTGCATTTATGAGATTTACTTCATGTTTGACTCTCCTCTGTTGAATAGCAGCATCTCCTGTGTAAAATTGAAATTAATATTTAAAATTTTACTTTGTCATTTACAATGTCTTTATAAAAAGTAGCTTGATTTTTGTTTTGTGATCAATTGTTTGTATAGCAAATCTTATGTACATAATAAAAATGCCTTATTTTCAGTTTATTGACTATTTTTAAATTTCACAAAATAGTTATATTTTTCATTCTTATGTA